TCTCAATATTACTGTAAAAATTTGTTTGGGCAAATGATTGAAAGCGATACAAAAGCTTTTCAAAGTTCGTTAAAATGCAGTTATTTGACCTTTTGCGGTCAACATTCCAGTCGCGAGTCACACATATTTTAACATGTTTCAACCCATATGAGGCCGAAAAATGTACATAGAAAGATATTTCCAAATGCTCTGACCTCATTTGCCGCAGAAGACCGATCCAGAGACCATTTTAGTGTGATTCTCTTGTCGTTCGTCGTATTTAGGTCTGTATAAGTGATAACGTCCGATGAAACCATCAACCCTGTCGAACACCGTCTTGGGTAAGTACTAAAACAAGGAACGACCTAAAACCACCTGAAACCACCTAAAACCACCTAAAACCACCTACAACCATCTACAACCACCTCAAAAATTTCAACAACCACCTACAACCACCTCAAAAACATCTACAACCACTTGCAAACTATCTAAAACCATCTAAAACAAGGCATAAATGTCTAAAATAAGGCGAAACGACAACATGTCACGTACACGAAATACGAGAATCGAACGAAACCTCTACCTCCCCCTGAAATCTTACTCTCCCTGGTCCCATGTATAATCAACCATCTCACGAAATGAAATGCGATAGCATGCTAATTATTTTATATTCCCTCAGCAAAAGACTTAAAGAACTTTACGAAATGAACTAACAAGTTACAAAAAATAATAAATAGGGAATAATACATTGGCGCGCGTAGATATGGAATTAATCTTCGAGTGTTTAACTCGATAACTCACGAGTGAGCGCAGTGAACGAGTGAGATGTCGAGTTGAACACGAGAAGAGAAATTCCATATCTACAAGCAACCATGTATTATTTTGTTTATCATAGAAAAACAATAGCCCTTTTCTGGGAAGAAAATCCGACCTCATTAATGAATGCAAATAAATGAATCGACAATCCTCGAATAACAATCGTAAAGTGCGTTGGCGCTGACTCTTAAGATGGAAAATGCTTTGAATCACGATTACAAAAACTTCCATATATACGCGCGCCTATGAATGATTCCCAATTCAACGGTTCAGTTGACTGCGAGTATTGCTCAGTTTACAATGCACTAAAAAATTACATCTGACAGTCTCATTCAATGCTAAACTGAGTTGACTACAAACATGTACGCCCTTTGAGTATTTGGGTTGTCACGCTATACCGGTGACAAAGGAACTTTAGGGGGTAGGTGAAGGGCAAAACTCCATATAATTAAGCACTATCAGAATTGAATTCTTGGAACCTACAAAATATTTTATTCTGTAAACATTTTTGTAATAGTGTCATCTTTGTCTGGTGACAAACAGTAAAATATATTTATTTATTGCAGGGAATAATTCTTGTTTTTTCGGCGCTCTGTGCCTGTCGTACTTATTAGGGGTGTTTTTCTTTCCACTATAATTGCAAGGAGTACCCTAATAGCATGAAAGAGAACCTTTTGTACATTTTTACAACACCATGCTACAAAACGCAGTGGTGGGGATGTGTGGCTTATGTGAGGCTGGGGTGCTATGCTCCATGGCCAATGGGTGAGGCTTGCATAAGGGAGTGGTATTATTAACCGCTGTTAACAGACCCAACTACCGTTTAAAACCATAAACTACAGAGGGGCCGACATATGTGCGCTCGGCACAAAATAAGGTCGATCTCATCTTCAGGACCGGTAAATTTGAAAGCCGACTCATGACTGGCGATATTCTTGGTGCATGAAAGTAAAAGGAACAATTTCCGTTTCACGCATTCGATCTCTAGTGTTGTAACCACAAACTCCGCCAATAAACAACTTAAACGAACAACAACCTTCCTTTTTTTATGTAATAAAGTTGACTGTGTAAGTTAGTGTATTTGTGAAAAACAAAGTCCGAAGCCCCGCCTCTAAGAGAACAATAGGTATCGTGTAATTACCATAAACCAGGTTTTGTTTACTTAGGCTTACTATATTTAGCAGGTACTAAATTTAGCTTTCCAACGAGTATTAGCCAAAGGCCCGATCTCCGCGACTTACATGTAAGAGATTTCGATGTTCACAACAACAAAAAAGCTTAGCAGCAGAGTGACGTCTTTTTTACTTTCCCCTCCCCCTACCCCCTAAAAAATAACTTTCCATTGTATCATTTGCATTGCGTGACGACTCTCCGTATACAAAACTACGTTGACTGCAACATATGTGTAGTGCCACTTTTAAAAGCATCGATCAGATCTACTGCACCACAAACCGAGCAACACTCACAGTCCACTGAACCGCTGGATAAGATGCCACAGTGCAGAAAGATGTCAAACGTTTTACAACGAAGGTTGGTGACAGTTTGCAGATTGACAGGCAGTTCCATCGGATGTTATAAATACGACGAGCTACAAGATAACCAAAGTAAAATGGTCTTTGGATCTTTCTTCTGCGGCAAATGAGGTTAGAGCATTTGGAAATGTGTACCCATGTACATTTTCCGGCCTCATATGGAATGAATCATATTAAAGTAGATGTGTGACTCGCAACTGGAATGTTGACCGCGAAAGGTCAAATAACTGCATTTTAATGGACTTTGAAAAGCTTTCGTATCGCTCTCAATCATTTGTCCAAAGAAATTTTTATAGTAATATTGAGAACATCTTTTCGTAATTCTACCGCCCTTATGGATTAAGCTTAATCCATTTGAAGGTTTAGCACATGCTGAAAATTAACTTTACTCACAAAGTACTTTTACTGAAGAGAAATGTATACTTTCGAAATTAAACTATTTTACACGCAAAGAGGAACGCAGTGTTTACAAAAATCGTTTTGTGAGGTCTTATGAGGTTAAAAGAGAAGATTTGATAGTTAAAAAAGACGAGATTGTGATTCGTTTTTGAATGCGAAGCCCTCAAACTAGTGCAATAATTTGCTGCTAAAAATGAAGATTTTAACGGAATTTTTTTATTTGTATTTTTCTCTGAAATAAAAATACATTTTGCCAAAAAAAGTAATCTAGTGATTTTAGTTATAGTTTAGCCTATCTAATATTAAAATAAGAGAGAAATTGAATTTTTCACCCTTGCCGCGAAATTTAGAATTTGTCTGATTTTTACAGACAAGCGGTCTTAAGTAATTACCAATCTCGCGCGCCGTGGCCATTATGTTGCTTAATGAATGGCAAAGTCTTCGCTATTCTCAATTCGAGGTGGTTTTTGAAATAATCTTGGATTATGACTGCTAAAGGCCGGTTATTATTTTTGTAGTAGATGGGGGGAGGGGTAGGGATAAAGGAAGTGGCGGGGGGGGGTGGTTAAGGCTATTTCAGATTGGCAAGAAAGGAAACTGACAAATTTTTATAAAGAAGTTGAGAGGGGCATTTGCAGGTCGAGGTACAGTTTGAGAGTGGTCCATCGCCCAAGATGGGTAAAACAGTTAAATAGTAGATTGTAAATAATAACTCTGAAACAGTAATGTGAAATTGTACAACTTTGTGTCAATTCTACCGTTTTTTGTGTCTGCTGCATTTATAATGCATGCAGACACTTAGATAAGCTGTAAAACGCGCGACCAGCTACTTCATATACGACAAGATCTCGGATTTACTCTTGACGTTTCACAGCGGATTCCATTTGGTGACACGATACACGAAGTATGCACGGAGGGGTACTACTTTCGGCCTGTAATACTTTCGGCCTGTAATACTTTAGGGTGCAAACTTCGTTCCTCAGGGGAATAATCTATCCAATCGGATACGAGGAAAGGACAAAGGAAAGAGGTCGTGGCAAACTACCGATTTCCGGGAAGACTCGGAACCAATCAAATCTGAGAAAAGGACAACGTCAAATCCGTCAAACCATACACCGAATGCAAATATGGCGGACCACTTGGGAGGACTGGGTCTAGTTGCGCGAAAGCGAGGCTAGTGATGCCTCGAGTTTGTTTTGACAACGCGTCCTTCGAGTCCATCGAGTAAGTGTTTTGTAGTCGTTCTGTTCTACGCTTTTCGATATGGTTACGAGTTGTTGTGTCCCTGAATGCAATCAGAAAGGAAAGAAGACGCCCACAGGAGAGAAAGTTTCTTTCTTTGAATTCCCACGCACTCCTACGAGGAGAAAACAGTGGATTCACGCAATTCGCCGTGAAGAAGGAAAGGATTTTAAGATCGTCGATGGAACAAAAGCTTGTTCCCTTCATTTTAGGCGAGAAGATTTAAGAAAATCATTCAATGGACGGGCTTATGTGGTTCCCGGTGGCGTTCCAACCAGATTTTCGTGGTCAGTTCCATCTCCAAGGAAAAGAAAAGCTCCTCCAGAAAGACATCCTCTGCCTCAGAAGAAATTATTTGCAACAACGTCTGCTTCCTCTGATCACACCGAGTTACATGTTGTGAGCGAAACAGATATCACGGCGGAATCACTTTCCAAGTCGACGGCAACTGCCTCTGACCGAAATACTGAGCCAAACGATACTTGTTCGGAGTTAAATGCGCCAAAAAAGATCGAGGAACTGGAAGAGGAGGTGTTAAAACTTCGACAGGAAAACACTGAGCTAAAAAAGAAATTGGACGAGGTAGAGAAACAGAACGAGGCTATCTCGGCCCGACTATTTTCTCTGGAACGCTTTACATCAGACGCTGACATCAACTTTTATACTGGCCTTCCAAATTATGCTACTTTCCTCGCCTTATTTAACTTTTTGAACCCGGGTGAAAATGGAGAAAACATTCGTCCAAGAAGCACCATAAAAGATGTGCCAGAAGATTTTTATGATGTGGACTCTGATGATGAAGAAAACATTTCACCTGCAAAGAAAGGCCGCCCACGAAAACTCAAACCAGTTGAAGAATTTTTTATTGTCTTATGCCGCCTGAGAAGAGGCTTTTCAGAGCGCCATTAAGCTCACTTGTATGGTGTTGCCCAGTCCACCATAAGCAGGCTTTTTGTGCCATGGATTAATTTCATGTATCTGAAATTTGGCCAGGTTTGCATCTGGCCTCCTAAGTCAGTTGTTCAGGCAACTATGCCTGCAGATTTCAAAGAAAAATTTCTCTCAACGCGAGTCATTATTGATTGCACAGAGGTCTTTTGTGAAATGCCAAGCAGTTTGCTTTTGAACTCTGAACTTTTCAGCTCGTACAAAAACCATGTGACATTGAAAGGACTTGTCGGTATTGCACCAAGTGGAGCTATTACATTTTGCAGTCAACTTTATACCGGCAGCATCTCTGACCGCGAAATTGTTTTACGGAGTGGATTTTTGTCCCAATCCTTTGAAGATGGTGACTCTGTTATGGCAGACAAGGGATTTCAGATACAAGACATCCTGCCCCTTGGTGTGGATCTGAATATCCCACCCTTTTTAGGCAGTGATGCTCAAATGTCTGCCGAAGATGTTGTTAGGACACAGCAGATTGCAAGTCTTCAGATAAACGTCGAAAGGGCCATCAACAAGATAAAGAACTTCCGAATTTGGAATGGAGTTGTTCCTCTGAGTTTATTTAGTGTCGTTAACCAAATGTGGACTGTTTGTGCTTTCCTGTGCAACGCTCAGGATCCACTCATATCTAATATCACATGATCTGCTTATGTTTATTGTTTTACTAAGCCAATGTTGTTTTCATTTATCTTTAGTTAAAATATTTTTCAAACCAGTTTTGTTTTTGTCACTTTTTGTGTTTAAAACATGATATTTAGAAACATACAAAATCATAAATCAAACTGGTTTGAAAAATGCAAAACCAAAAATAAATATGAACCACAAGAGTAAAATTGACTTGACGGCAGGGCTAGTTATAACACTTAAATGTCCTGCTAACCTAAAAGTTTAGCATTTGCACAATGTCTGAACAATAACAAAACACTATAGACCCATGATGTTACATGAAACACATAAATATAAACCTAAGGTGGGAATGGGGGGGTACTCCATTAGGGCTTATGGTGGACATGCAGCCAGCCTGTGTATGGCTTTTAGGGATTGTTTTGGGTTAAATTTCTTAAGCAGGGAACCAAAATCAGCATTCTGTCTGAAAGTCTGCAGGGTGGGAAAGTTTCTCTTCTTAAACATGGTCAGATATCGAGTGTCTGAGCCACACCTCTCAACCCAATGATACATGGAGTACCCCCCCCCCCCACCAGAATCCAGAGCCTCATGAACCTAATGATTGTATAACAGTAGTTAATTGTTTTGATGTTTAAATGTCCCAAATAGGGGCTCACCATGTAGTAAACATGCATATTATAATAACAGTGACTTTGCCTTATGCTCTTGGTTCTCTAGCTGCTATAGCTAGGAAGTGTTTAAAATAATGCAGTTTCAATGTGTCCTTTAAATTGTTCCAAAATTGCACGTCAAATGGAATTCGCTCGATGCTCATTCCCTTACTAGTGTAGACGATGAAATCGCACCACTTTGCCCCGGTCACACCCATCAGCCCTTGCACTTGGACATAGTATTTATGGGTGCGTTTAAGTTTAGGCTTTCCATCAACTTCTTCCATGAAAAAGCTGCTATCAGAGCATGCATCCAGTGGGGTGACTAAGTACTTGGTTTCTGGGCACTTGACCTCAGAAAGACCAAATTGATCAGAGCATCCAGGATCAATAACCTTGCCATCTGGTGATGCACCCAAGTATGGGGCATCCATACTTATTACAAGTCCTGACTTAAAAACCTTCACTGACTTGTTAATAGAGGACATATATTTTTGGTATTGTTCTAAGGCAATTGGCTCATATTTAAGTCCATGATTAGTATATCTTGATGAAAAAGGCTTTGGATTTATAAGATTTTGTACTAAAGATTCATGGTTTCTTTTTCTGTCCCGTATAAGACCAAAATTGGAGGCAGTAAATCGGAATTTCCTTTCCAACTTCCATTCAGGGCACTCTGATTGGCTGCGTGTTTTAATTTCAATGCCATTCAGTTTATCTTCATCAACTTGCAGATCCTTTAACAGTGATTTTTCTGCTTCTGAAAGATCAGCAGGTATCTCAAACTGTTCATTAGACTGACTTAATAGGGGAAATCTTGGATATGTCACAATATGCTCACCATGGTTGGCAGGGTTTGCCCTTCGGATAGACGTGATGTCACAAAACACTTTGAAATTATCTTCGGTCACTGCAAGTTGATAGCTAGCATACGAGCCTTGTGGACTTCTGCCAAATTTGGTTTCTACTAAGGGAATAGAATCAGCCTTTGGGGTCATAATCTGTGCTAGGGCCATATTTGGGTTCAATTCTTTCAAGGTTGCCAATAGTTTCTCTTCATCTGCCTTTTGCCCCCGTATATTATTCCTTGCCTCATATAGTGTACATCTGACACCAGGTTCTCGAGCTGATGATCTGGGCTGCTCCAGGTAGGTCTTTGCTACAAGCACCTCCATTGCTGGTTGTGGATTTATAGAGTCTCCTCTTCCCTTCCTATGCCACCTCTGTAAAGAGGAAGTACATGCTTGCTTTGGCTGCATGTCTTCTTCGTTTTCAAGTTCATGGACAGTTTTACATTCATATAATGAGAATTTGCAAATCTTCATCAAGAGTGCTAATATATGGTTACAAAAACCAACCTTCCCAGCAACGCAGGAACATGTAGCATGTTTCACTTCCCCACTTAAAATGCACAATGCGACTTTCAAGTTGTGTGGGGCATCATTCTTCCGAAAACTGTGATAGCAGTGAGACCGGAAATAAAAGTAGTTGTCATCGCTTGCTGCGGAGATACCCTTCAAATATTCGTCATTCAGAAAAGTTGTCGCTTTCCGAATACTCGTTGGCACTGAATGGGCTTTACTTGTCGGATCAATTCTTTTTCCAGACTTTGAAATGTGGTCATTCATTTCGGCGCGGGTAAAAAAGGGCATCCGCCGTATGTCTGCAGACCAGCCATCTGATGGGAAACTCAAAGGATGCTGAGTTGCGGCAATTCCGGAGTTGTCATCTTTGTTTTTATCCAAGCGTTCCTTGCGCTTTGTATATACGGAGTCAGGATCCGGATCTACTATATTTTGATCACGACCTTCTTTGATATATTCCTCAACCCTAAACAGAAGGGAAGATAAGATCGTTTTTAAACTTTGGTTACCGCAATTGCAATCAAGGCAAGCGAGGCGCGAAATCTCCGCGAATCGGTCGAAGTACGAGCATCCTACCTTTTCACTAATTGTGCTTTTGTTTTCAGTCCTTTCAATGTATCGCCCCTACATTTCAGCCAGAAACGAAGTTCTTCATTTTTTAGCGTGGCAGGCGATCTACCTCGAAGAGAAGCTCCAGGAATATCGTCTTCTGTGAGCGCACGTGAAGCAGCCATTCGTGACGATCAAAACACAGGGAAAAGCCGGCCTCACTGGCTGGCCTCACTAGCCTCGCTTCCACGCAACTAGCCCCGGGCCGCCCGAGAGGTCCACCATATTTGCATTCGGTGTATTTGCTTTCGAAAAACGTTTGGGTTGCGTCGTATCGTCCTGATTTCGTTCGTCAAGCCAGGGTGTATTATTGCTTGCAAGGTGAGTGATCTTTTCGCTTTTCATATTTGTAATGGATTTCTTAAAAGGTGTTTTCTCATTTTGCCACAGCATTCGCACTGGGTGTCATTCCGGCCGAGTGAAAGGTTTTGAAAGATGCTTTGAATTTGTAAATCGACTGAAGCTTTCTCGGCGCCAACACGATCACCGCCCGGCCATTTTGCAAGTGCTCAGGACGCAAAATAAGCTTTATGAGCCCCATTTGGGGAATGCAAAGTCCCTTCGGGGAACAATTGAGCTCCATTTGGGGAATGAAAAGCCCGTTAAGGGAATTATTAAGCCTCACTTGGGGATTACAAAGCCCAATGCGGGATATGATATGCCCTGTTTACGAAATGGATTTGGCAGAAGATACATGTATTTCACTGCACACGTGAAAACATCTATCACTAGACAAACATGTGCGAAAGCTGTACTAGTATTCTTCATGATAATTACTATCTAAGCATCGCTATGAACAGATCTTTGCATACAGTTGTAAGGTTTGATGTGGGAGTTTCCATCGTTGGCATAGCGCCATCATTCAGAGAATTCCATGAACACTCCCCGCTGAAACATTCCAAGTCAGTCAAAGAAGTGAAACGACGTAGAGACCGAGAACCGTCTAGGAAAAAAAGATAATAAATACTATGAAAAAGAGAAAAGTCAGATGCAAGTGTAAGTTCATTCTTAAGAAGTGCACCCCTAAATCTTCACGATTATACAGCTTCGTGACTGACTTTAAATTATGGTATGTAAGGTATTTACACAGATGCAACTGTTTTTTTACTCATTTTGCCGCTTTTAATAGACTGACAACAAAGAAGCTGTCACAAAAAAGAAAGCAAACTAGTTGCTGTTGTTCACATAAAATTCAAAACTTAACTTGCGTCACCAAAAGATATTCCGTATCAAGAATAAACCTTTTGAGGTCGGGTGATGTTGAATTAAATCCAGGCCCAGATCAAAATGTGGACAACCAGACCAGACTGTCAGTAGACTCCACAACATTGCTTAACTTTCGATTAGGACAGTTAGGATTGAGAGCTCTTGATGTGGGTGGTGCAGGCGACTGCTTTTTCAGGGCAGTATCACATCAATTGTATGGTAATCCCAATAGTCACTTTCGCATCAGGCAAGCTGCTGTTCACTATCTTAGGCATAACCCTGAACCTTTCATTGAAAGTAATACTCAGAATTCATGGAATGGTTACTTAACAATTATGTCAATGCAAGGTACGTGGTGTGATGCACTAACTGTACAAGCAGTTGCAGAATCACTAAATATACAAATTTATATTATAGAATCAAATGTAAATTTTGGACAGGTAACTTTGATACAGCCACATCATCCATCACAGCAGCAACCAAGAACAATATATATAGGTCATGTTGATGAAATACAATATGTATCAACAGTACCAAATAGCTCTTGCTCAGGAAATGAGCACTGTAACAATAAGTATTATAATATCAATAATTTCACCAAACAAAATGTTCTTTCTGAACAAGTACAAAATAGTAGTCGAAAAAGAAAATATAATTCTGATCTGAAGAATATTAGGATAAGCACTGAGAGCAGTGAAAACAATGAAAAGCAAAGTTCAGCGACTAAACAAAATAAAACGAATGAGCAGAAAAAGAAATGGAATTCTTACATGAGCAATTACAGGCATACCAGAAGGGCTAATTAAAAAAAATCAAGGGAATCAAAGAAACAATGAAACGCACAATTCAGTGACTAAACAGAATAAAACTGATGAGCAGAAAAAGAAATGGAATTCTTACATGAACAATTACAGGCATACCAGAAGGGCTAGTTAAAAAATATCAAGGGAATCAAAGAAACAATCAAATACACAGTTCAGTGACTAAACAGAATACAACTGATGAGCAGAAAAATAAATGGAATGCTTACATGAAAAATTACAAGCGTACCAGAAGTAAACAGAATCAAAGGTATGAATGTGACAATGTAAGGCAAAGTTCAACCACTAAACAGAATGAAAAAACTCAATGTCAAAAACCAAAAAGGCAAAAAGCACGAAGCATTGCTGCCTTAATTTCAAGGTTTCATAACATTGTTTCCCAGGGCCCATTATATATCTGTAGTTGTTGTGATCAGCTGTGGTATAAACACAGTGTTTTTCCAGCTGCTAAAATAAGAAATTCTAACCCTGCTGCTGAAAAATATCTTTTAAACTCGAAAAGTGTTAACAATAAAAAGTGGCTGTGTAGAACATGTCATAATTACTTGGCAAAGGATAAAATTCCACCTGTGGCTGTCTTCAATGGAATGAAATTCCCCAAAAAACCAGAGTTTTTTGACCTCAATGAATTGGAATGTAGGCGTATAGCTCCAAGACTTGCTTTTCAAAAATTAATGCAAGCTCCAAGAGGAAGGCAGCTTAAAATACATGGAAATGTTGTAAATGTGCCAGCAGAAGTGTCTGATACTGTCAATATGTTACCAAGGTTACCTAATGATACTGGCACAGTTAAAGTCAATTTAAAGAGAAAATTGCAATACAAAAGTTCAGCATTGTCTCTCAATATTAGACCACATAAAGTTGTTCAAGCAGCCAATTGGCTAATCAACAACAGCAGCCTCTACAGACAGGAAGGAATAACACTAAATGAAGGTTGGGGAGTGCAGTATACTGCAAACTGTTTATTAGATGATACTATACTGAAAATCAAAGTGAACAATTATAAGAAATAGAAAAGAGCAGTGGTTCCAATGAGCAAGCTGGAAATGACAGTAATGATAGTGATGATCAGTGGACTGAAGATGAAGCAGAAACACCTGCTGGTGTTACTGACACCATGTTGACCAACACACATTATTTTGAAGACAGTCAGCCTCAACGTATTTTAAGTGTTGCGCCAGGAGAGGGAAACAAACCCTTAAGTATATTCAGAGATCAATATTCTGAAGAGTTAGCATATCCTGGTATATTCCTTGGTCAAAGTCGACCAGAAAATAAAGATAGACTAGCTAATGTTCATTATAGCGACATTTGTAAATCTGAACTAAGACGATCAGATAGGAGAGCTGCTATGTGTGTTGAAAATATATTCTTCAAAACAAAAAAGCTTCAAATGAAAATTCTCTTAGGAAAATCACAAGTTGCACTTAGGAAGTGCAAAGGAAATAGCAAATCTTTAAATGCTGGACAGTTGAAATGTGAAGGAGCAATTGAGCGCTTGATTCATCTTGATGAAGGATTCCAATTTTTGAAAGCATTGAGAGGTAGCCCACCATATTTTGAAAAAGCTAAGAAAGACTTGTTTGCAATGATAAGACAATTAGGACCAGCTTCTATATTTTGTAGCTTTTCTTCAGCAGAAACACAGTGGATACATTTCCTACGAATACTTGGTCAGGTAGTAGATCACAAAGACTACACTACCACTGAGCTTGAAAATATGACCTGGGATGAGAAATGCAGGTTAATTCAAAGTGACCCAGTAACATGTGCCAGACATTTTGATTATCAAATAAGTCAATTTCTCACAAACTTTCTTTTCGATAAAGCTAAACCATTAGGGAAAATTTCTGACTGGTTCTACAGAGTAGAATACCAGCAGTGGGGTTCACCCCACATACACATGCTTATATGGCTTGAAAGTGCACCAGTGTTTGGAGTTGATGATGATGCTGTTGTTATAGATTTCATTGATAAGATAATTAGTTGTCAGTGGCCAATTGCTAATACAGAATTATATCAACTTGTGAAGAGACAAATTCACAGACATTGTAACACTTGTAGGAAGAAATCAAAGAATGAATGTCGATTTAAATACCCACAGCCTCCTATGAGAGCAACTGAAATTCTTTATCCTCTAGAAGGAGACATACCACAAAGTAAAGTAAAACAGTACAAAGACACTTGGAAAACAATCAACAAGCAATTAAATGATATGAAAGAAGGTGAACCTATATCCTTTGAGCAACTGCTTGTCAAGTTAAAGGTTACTGAAAATGAATATCGATTAGCTGTTAGGTCATCTTTAAATGCACCAACTGTCTTTTTAAAAAGAAAACCCAATGAGTTAAGAATAAACAACTATAATCCAGCCTGCCTTGAGGCTTGGAGAGCAAATATGGATATCCAGTTTGTCCTTGATGTGTATGCATGTGCCATGTATATAGTTTCATATATTTCTAAAGCACAAAAAGAAATGAGTGAACTGTTACGACAAGCATGTGATGAAGCCAGAAAAGGAAATTCTAGCATAAAGCAACAAGTCAGAGACATTGGAAACAAATTTTTAAACAGCGTCGAGATAAGTGCACAAGAAGCTGTTTACATTGTTTTACAGCTTCCTATGAAGAAGTCTTCTCGACAAGTAATATTCATAAATACCACTCCTCCTAATGAAAGAGTGCAGCTTTCAAAGCCAATAAACGATATTCAAGAAATGGAGGATGATTGTGAAGATGTATACACCAATGGTCTTCTGCAAAGATATGCAAAGTGCCTTTGAGTCTTGAGCACTTAACTTTGGCAGATTGGGCTGCATGGTATGACTCAGGAGGAAAACCATATATAAAAAAATCAGTTATAAAGAATGCTGATAACCTTCCATTTGAAACAGCTGATAGTGATGAAAATGATGATGACCCTTTTGATAGCAATGCTATCAATAGCAAAAAAAGATCAAAAGCAAGAATTATTAGAAGTGTTTGGTATAACCGTGAAAAAAATCCAGAAAAACACTATCGCGAACTAATAATGCTCTTTACATCGTGGAGAAATGAAGACACTGATCTGTTGGCTAATTTTTCTTTCTACCAAGAACGTTTCTTAAATGTTAAAGATTCTATAGATGAGCAAATGAAATTATATGC